GTCTGCAGGGCAGACAGATGGGGCCTCATTAGTACCTCTGCAGGCAAGCAGATAGAGACATGTGCAGTTACTCATGGGGACGTGCACCAGACCTCAGCAGGGCTGGGCTGATGCTCAGGTTCTGACAGATGCTGGAGGAGAAGGAAGTACACAGCTCTTTCCTCCCAGCAGTGGATGCAGAACTAGGGACTCAAAACCACAGAATTTCACTACCAGGGCCTCTGCTTTGAGCCCTAGTTACACCAACAAAATAAACATACAACCTACTACCTCAATGGCTTTTGTTGGATGTGAGGTGGACTCAAGTCCTAAAATAATCCCTGCTTCTCAGTTAGCACAAGTAGCAAGGAAAGAGCTGTTACCAGCAAGGCCACAACAAAGAGCTGTCTGAGCATTAGCTTCACCAGAGACAAGGCAGGGGAACAGGGGAGAGGAAACAGCAGTTGTTATTTGGCACTGTCCCAGGTACAGAACTTGGGGCCAGACCCTTCAGGATCACTCACAGGATACACAGTCTCCTCTGGAAATTAACTCCCCACCAGGCTTTATGGAAATCTCTTGTATGTTGGCAACATGGCAAGTGAAAATGCTTCCCCATGCCTATGGCCATAAGAGCTGGGCTCTGATGTGACAGACCAGCTGCCAACACACCATAAATCTGCCCCAGAACAACCAGCCCCCATGCAGGTCTGCCAGGCACACCTGAAAGCTGCCCTGTGACAGTCCCAGCCAAGCCAGCCTGAAGCCCTCCCAGCAGCCTGCATGCAGTCCTCAACATTTTATTCCCTGTTACTTGTGTCCAAGGCATCTGCCCCACACATTGCAACTCCTTTGCCCATACTTCATACACTGTCTCAGCTCCTGGCTTCTAAGAGAGCACAGGATTTTAAACAATTTTCCTACAGAAAAAAAACAGACAGAAAGCTTTGAATGGAAAAAGAGCACAGGAAAGCTTAAGTATCACCTCTGGAGTGATGCCTTTTTGTTTTATAGAATCATAGAATCATTTAGGTTGGAAGGGACCTCCAAGATCATCAAGTCCAACCATTGAGCCTTTAGGGCTCCTAAGTCCTCTGCTAAAACAGATCAGAATCTGTCAGGGTTGGAAGGGACCACAAGGATCCCCCAGTTCCAACCCCTCTGCCATGAGCAGGGACACCTCCCACTAGATCAGGCTGCCCAGAGCCTCCTCCAGCCTGGCCTTAAAGACCCCCAGGGATGGGGCCTCAACCACCTCCCTGGGCAACCCATGCCAGGGTCTCACCACTCTCATGGGGAAGAACTTCTTCCTCACATCCAGCCTGAATCTGCCCACTGCCAGCTTTGCCCCTTTCCCTCTAGTTCTGTTGTTACTTGAGATCCTAATTGAACATCCTTGGAAACATGTTCTAGTCCAGGAGTGCCCTCTTCTGACATGGCCCCTAGCCCAGGCAGAGCCCTGGGTGAAGATGAGTTTACACACATGCCTTCCTCTGGAGCAGGTTGCAACTGGACCCCAAGAACAGGCAGAAAAAGCAGAAGCAAAACTGAAATGCTGCTTAAATCCTGCTGCAACAGACAAGCCAGGAAAAAAAACAGTTCTATGGAAATCATTACTTCTCTGAGGCTGTTTCTGAGTGTCAATCTGTCTCATGGCTGGTGCTTCTTCAAGGAGTCTCCACCTCAGTGCTGCTTATTGCAAAGCCTGGATGTGCTCAGACAAGATTAAACTGACTGGGTCCAGAGCTTCAGAGCAGCACTTGTCCAACCTGCAATGCTCTCAGCCTCAGCTGGAAGGTGGAGGAGGAATGCTGCCAGCAAAGAGGAGGGGAGGAATGCTGTAACCCCTGTACCTCTGACCAATTTGAGTGTCTTGCACCATCCCTCAGCCTCACATAAGATGCTTGATCTAGCCACAGTCATGACTGCAAGGTTGTACCCATCTAGAGTTGTTAAACCAGCTTCTGTCAGTGCCAGCTCAGGCATTAGCCATTCAGATACCTTCTTTTCCAGAACCAGACAGAGTAATAGGAAAAGCCCTTTCTCCAAAGGCAGGAAGGAGACAAAAGTAGATTGCCTACAGGATCCTGATGTGCTGCTACCCAACAGGTTTGGTCACAACACCCTTCTCAGCCCAAGACAACTCCAGGCAGGGAATCCAGTTGAGGCAGATTAGCAGTTTGTGGGGTGACCCTTTACCCACGAGCTCACAAACCACAAGACTTAATTTATTGAATAGAGATCATAAACTAGCTGTCCCAAATCTGCTTCCTCACAATGACATCATAACTTTGCTTTTGAGTCAAAGCAAAAAGAAAAGAAAGAATTCAGCAGCCCCTCTCTCAAGCTTCCTAACCAAAGCAGAAAAGCAAACTACAAGATGTCTGAAAGTGTTTTGTTTTGGATGCAGCTCCACCTTTTGGCACAAAGCTCTTTGCATCCACGTTTGCATTCAGAAAGCAAGATCCTTCATAACCTGGGCCAGGTAGGGAATTCTTGCAGCCTCTTCCTCGGGCTCTGATGCCCCTTGGACTTGTACTGCTTGCTCCATCAAGTCTATTTGTTTCCTAGTAATCTTATTATTGATGGCTTTTTGCTTAATCTCAGCACTGCACAGAATGCAGCAGTTCTGACTTAAAATGATGATGGGAGCCTTAGCATTCCCTGTGAGAAACCTCACACCTATGGCTCAGTCCTTAGGACAGAAACCATTAGGAACAACTTCACCTTCTCATGCCCAGTGGTCTCAGCCAGGATCAGATTGCCTCTGTGCTAAATTCTGGCTGCCCAGTAACACCACCACAAGAATTATGTATGAGCAAGGACTAAAGGAAGGGAGGCCCTGGCTCCTTTACCTGCTGCCAGGAAGGCTGGTTCTGTGCCAGAGATGAGAAACAACTTACAGGCAGACTCCATGTGTGACCTTAAATGACTTATTGGGTCCAGATCTTTGCAGCACCAAGGCTCCCAACTTCCTCCTGAAATCAACATTAAAATGGGATCTAATCTTGTCCCAAATCAGATCAACAACCTGCCCCTTCTCTGCCTCATCTCTTTAGCCTGCCAGTTCTCCAGGAGGCAGGGCTGACTCCCCCTGTTGGCATGGAGTCCTTGCCTTGATCTGCACCTCTGGGATGCAGAGCTGTCCACTACCTCTCCCCACACCTGTGTTCACCACCAGGAACCCAATGTTGGGCACATTCCTCTAGAAAACATTGATAACCCTTATTATTGCCAAGTTATCAGTCTCCAACCACCACTGCAAGACAGGAATCAAGCTGAAGAGGAAGGTGGAGCAGCCACAGTAATTTAGAACAGGTCTTTACTGTACTGTCTTTTCACATTAAGCATGAGGTTACAGGCCATGACAACATGGAACAGTCACACAAACAGCACCAGAGAGAGGTGCAATTGCTTCTTCAACCACATCTGTTTCTTTATTTCATCAGCAAGGGGAGAGGCAACAAGCAGGGCAGGAGTTTTGGTTTTGATTTACTGGCACCCTAGAGCCCTGTTCAGCACATGTGACTTCTGTGAGGGGTAGAGCTGGAGGGAGGCACAGGAATACCACAGACACTGCAACACCCCTGTGCAACGTGACTGACCTTCCAGAACAACTCACCCAGGACATCAGCCACTTGCCTGAAAACCCTGAAGCTCCACATTTGACTCTTATGCAGGGTGATATCCATCTCTCTGAAGAGAGCCAGGACTTACAGACACCACAGATGGTTCCCTAAGCCTTCAGAGATATCCAGACTGGCCAACAGATGTGTCTAGCACTAGATTCTGCCCCTGGAGCAACACCTGTACCCTCAGAGGCACATGTTTTAGATCCCAACAGCTTCCAAAGATGCAAACCTGCTTCCTGATCCACCACTGGCACTCTGGCACTGAGCATACAGACAATCTAACCACAGTGGGGCATGGAGCTTGGGCAGCTCTTCTGCAAAAGGAAATTCCTCTCTGCTCCATCTCATGCCATCCCATCCTATCCCCACAGAGTTCCAAGGGGGTGAGTGCAAACAGCTCCCTCCATCTAGCTTGTGACACTGCACCTTTTAAAAATGGAGAGGTAATAAATACAGCATTGATCTGAAGAACACTGGACCATTGTAACACAACCTGTCTATCCTGGGAAATAAAACTGGAAAAGAAAAATAAATCCTTCTTTTCTCTGGGTGTTTCCAGAAATTTTATGATGCTGTAGTCTAGAATTCAAAGGATGTTACAGGTATCTTTAAAAAATTATTATAAATAACAAACAAACCCCCTGGTTTCACAGATGACAGAAACACTCTGATCCCATTAAAACAGATCATTGGCTCAACTGCAAATTTGGGCATTTTTCTCCCAAAAGCACAGGTTTATCCTTGGAAGTGTCTCCTGGACAGGGCAACTTTAGGCTGTTTCTCTGTGATGCAGGCTACTTCATCCCTGCAGATTCTGTGCATTTCAGTGAATTGCCTCTCAGGTGTTTTCATCTTTTCCCCATCCTTCTTCTTTAAAAAACAAAAAAAAAATCCCCAATGTTCTTAGCTGAAAAAAATCCCCTAGGAGAAGGTGAACACTACTTAAACACAGGAAGACCATGGAGGACACATAGGCTGGGAGAGAGAAAGAGAGAAGCTGAGCTGGATTTTCCCAGGGCCAGACTGCAACCTGGTGCAGAACCTCATAACTGTCACTCCTTTTTATTTCCCATTTTTCTCTTCTCTGGTGTAACAGATAACACAGGGAGCAGCAGGGATAATATGTTCGTAGGTGGCTGCTGGATTTTCAGATGGCTTCTCCCCAGCATGTTCTGAGTAGGCAGAGCAGAGACCTGACACTGAGAACTGAAAGCAGATGATGCACCCTTTTTACAGCTGGAAGCTGGCAGAACGAAATCACTTCACAGGAAATCTTTATTAGTGGATCTTTTAAGTGCAATCCTTCAAAAAGGGAACTGAAGATGGCTCAGGCAGCTGTCCAAGAGTGGCAGCAGATGCTTTTTTTGGTTTTGTTGCCCAGGTGTGTTGCTAGCCTCCCATTTTTCTCCTGCTTTGCTTCGACCTCCTGGCTTTCAGAATGGTGTAGTTTGCATACCAGGTGTACTGTTCTGAGAGGAGGGGGATGTAGAATGCACGCAGCAGCTTGGAGGACCTGAAACCAGAAAGGAAAAAGAAATCATCCTTAAAGTGCTCACTTGTCAGAAGGTTCAGAGCAGTACAAATGAGGCTCTGCAAAAGGATATGGGCTGGTCAGTCAGTGATTTCATGCATGTGAAGCTCAGTTCCACTTTCTCCTTGTTAGTAGGACCAAAGCTGGTCTGCACCAGCATCACAAGCTCTTCAGGATGTCCACCCACCATTCCAGTAGGATTAAAGGGGAGAGAAGGCAGGAAGGTGTTGTAATTATTGAAAGACACTTAGATTCTGGATATCACTGTCCAAAAAGCAGAGAGTACAGCCCTACAGGCCTTTGGTACCAGAGACAGGCATGCCTCCTGTTCCTCAGGGCATGGCATCAAGCTGAGAGGCACCAAAAGGGCATTTTGCTCCTGGCATCTCCTCTTTCCTATCCAGTCTGATGGCCTAATCCTCCACACATGTCTGAGGGGCAGGCAGAAGCTTTGACAGGCACTATCATTTTGAAGTTGTGCCCTTGTGCTGTTCTTCTGCTGAGGGTATTGAATTAAAGAGAGATGGACTGCTCTAAAGCCTACAAGGCAGCTTGCTGCAGGCTGCCAGCATTCACTCCCTGCCCTGCCAGTGCTGGGAGCTGGCATTTCACATCCCTCTGCAACAATTGGACCAATGGAGTACTGAAGCATGGAGGGTTTAATGGCTTTGTCAAATTAATACCTTTTGTTTGGTTTCTAATTGCTGGAGCTGTGCTAGCTGAGTACATTTTAAATGCATGTGTTCTCTTACTGAGCAAACCAATAGTAAAATCCAGGTTTAAATGTGAAACAGAAATATAATGCCTTGCACCAGCAGCACTGAACCTTGCTAGAAGCTTCAAAAATTTGAGCAACTGACTGAAATATGGGCTGGGGCAGAGTCTCAGCATTGAAGTTTATTGTCTTTAAGATCAGCTTGTTGGTAAACTATCAGCTCCTGACAGATGAAAGTGTAACCCCATCCACACAAAGCTTGGGAAAGCAGCAGCAGCAGCACTCTGATTGGATTTGCAGCACACTGAGGGGTCAGGGCTGGTGCACAGATCCAGCACCTAGTTGCTGGTCACTGCAATTCACACAGCTCTGCTGCTAACAGCTGAGGTTCTGGACATCCAATTCAAGTCCCCTTTTCAGAAGAAAGATGAATTGTGTTTTGATTGCTTATTGTAAGGCAGCATTGGATATCTTTCAAAAATGCAGTCTTAAAAACAATGGCAGGAACTGCCCCTGTGAACTGCATCTCCCCAGAGGCTCCCAGAGTTCTCAGACAGCCTGGTGAGCAGCTCCTGATCTCCTGCAGCTTGGAGTAAAAAGGCTGTCCAGGAAAAGACTGATGATACCTACTTGCATTGCCACAGCACCACTCAGCAGCAGGGTCCTGTGGCAGAAGATGCCATGCAAGCACAAAGCAAGCCATTCTTCCAGTTGGAATATTCCCTGCTTTAGGCAGACAAAGGGATTCTTCCCACAGTGGAGAGGGGAAACTGAGGCAGAAAGTATTTCCCCTCAGAGAGACTGAGCAAGTCTGAATTCCTAAAATTCACAAGTCCCACTTCTAACTGTGAGACTCTGCCTCCCTTCAACATCTTGGATGCCTCCTTTTTGCCAGGCTCAGCTCGTGTTGTAGGATACAAAACTGCTGATTGCTTCACTTTGAAGCACAAAAAGCTCAGGGATAATACTTACACACCCTTTACACATCATAAAGCAAAGTTCCTAAATGACAGAATCACTTGAAATGGCTGCTCTTTGTCAATTCCTGAGGTGCTGGAATCAGGGACACGTTCAAGGCAGGATTTCTTAGCACATAACTAGGCAGAAGATGGTAATTTTGGTGTATTCTGAACAAGGAACATTTTTTGCAGCTGTCATTTCCTTGTGCCTGGAAATTAGAGGTCAGGCCTCCATCCAGTCACTAGAATCAAAGGCATCCCTCTGAAAACAAGCTCTTGATTTTCCTGCTCCATCTCCTTTGGCTAATGAACATCATGTCATTGCTGAACTTATTCTGGCATCTCCTCCTCTGAGCCTGACAAGTCACCACTGCTACCATGGCTGCCCTCTGTGAATGGTGTGGTTTCACTTCAATTCTCTTTTGTAAAGGAAAAAAGAAAGAAAAACAAGAGAAAGCAACTGTGTTCCAGCTGCTTGGGATGCTGTTTAAAAGGAGGAACATCAAAACTAAGGTAGAGTACCAGCTTGCTGCTATGTTGGGAAAAAATGGACAGAAACAAGCACAATTCCCCAGAGCTCAGGGTGTGTGCTTGGGTTGAAATGAAGTAATTTGTTGAACTAGCCTGGTGTGGTTTAGCTCAGGGACAGAGAATGACAGCACCTTCAGGTGATGGCTGAAGTCCCAAGCATACAGTCTGTAGCACTCAAAATGCTGTCAGTCTCTCAGTCCTGAGGCAGAGGTGACAGTAGCCAGACAACAGCACCCAGTTCACACCCTCCCCTTAACCTGGATGCACCAACACACCAACAGCCTGCCCAGTGTTGTGTGATGGTGGCCACTCTGTAGTGGTGGATCTGTTGGAGCAGAAGAACTAAGTGCCTGTGTTTCCCTTCAGTGCTGGTGCCTCTTAAAACTCTGCAGAAATCCCACTACCCTGTCTGTACCTCCTCCTCTTCATACCTTTTGTGATAAACACTACCTCTGCTTTTCACTTGTTGGTATTCTGAAAGATGGTCCCAATGCTGCTCACGTGGTTGTGCTCCTGTGTTTTTTATGGCATACATTCAGAATGTGCAGATTTCAGCTTTGTTTTCTAGAACAAAAGGATATTCCATGAGCTGGTAGTAGCAAAAATCTCCTCCCCAATAAGCCAGATCAGTGTAATCATCCTGAGTTTGCAGAGAGCCTGAAAACAACTCTGAGCAACAAAAGCTCAACACATGCTCTTCACTTTGCTGTCAGCTTAGCCCTCACTAGCAGCACTTTAAAAGTCAGTGTTCACTGTTTCTGCAGTTTATATGAGCAGTGAAACAAGAGCAGAAAATGCTGTTGGTGAAAAGATGAATGGAGAGGCAGGAATAACTGATGGAAAAAAATACTGATGGTGAAAAATTAGGAGAAATGCAGAGCAGGAAGAGATCTGCTCTTCCCACCAGTGGATGTCATACACAAGGCCAAGACACTCATGGCAAACAACAATATAGAGAATTTGTGTATAAAGGCCACAGCTGATCTACATTCCTGTACTCCTCCCTCACAACTGGGAGCATATGCTCCAAGAACAGAGAGCTGTAAATCTCATTGAGCTGGAGGAGGCACCAAAAGTGAAGTTCACCCTGCTCTTCAAGGTGAAAGGATGTATTACTCTAACTGTCAAGTCCACAAAGAGCCTTTGGTTTCCACCAGGTTTCAGATGTCCAAAGGGAACAGTTCACATTGGTTCCAATTATCCAGTCTATGGAGACAGGTTATAAAAGGCAACAGAAAATAAAAGACATATCTTAAAAATAGTGTTTACATGCTCAGAGGATCACATCTCAGATATAAGAACATGAAACCTTGATTATGATATAGTAAATGGCAGCACCAACACATCTGCTCCACAGCTATAAGGTCAGTCTGTTCAGCAGCAACTTTCTCACTGAAAAAAAGACTTGGACTGGATGGAAACAGGCACACAGCAGCAAAGCCAGGGGCACCTGCTCTCAGCAGCAGCCAGGAGAGAGCCATGGCTGCTGAGGCACCTACACCTCAGGAACCCATGATGGAGCTTCAAACACACACAGGGAACCTTCACCTCGTGTCACCTTGCTTTGTCAGGCTCAGCCACCTCAGACAACAGATGGCACATGGAAGGGGCTGGGATGACAGATGACAGGGAATAGATATAATATTCTATTTGCATTTGCTTCTAAATCTGTCCTCACCTAGAGACTGTGAATATGTGTAGCCTTAATCAGCACACAGCTCCCAAACAGCACGTGGGCAGCAAGATCAAGGCCACAACCCCTCCAAGCTGGGTAGCCAAGGGTCTAGTGCAGTGCTGCTGGAACACTGGTGCAGCAAGGCTCCTTCACTGGTGGGTTCCAGGCTGGAGCCAAGCAGGCAACAGGGAAATTCTGCCCAGCTCCTGCTGTGCTGCAGAAACAGGAGGTATCCCACCATTCCAGGGAGCAGTCTGAATTCTTTTCCAGTTTTCTGGTTTCTCAGGGAGCGACTGCTGCAGCAATCAGAACAGCTCCTAATTAGGGCAGAGAGGCAGAGTTACCAGTAGGCCCAGCAGAGCTGGAACCACAGGGCTGTTTGCTGCTCAGCGTGCTCCTGTCAATTATTTACTGGATTTCAGCAGAAAGTCACTCAACAGCCCTATTCTGCCAATGCTGGTGAAGGCTTTTCTGGAATGGAAGCAAGTGAAGATGTTAAAGTTCCTCCCCATAAGCTCCCAGACTGACATGGAATGGAAGCAGTTAGATCCATGTAGTGGTGGGAGATTCTCCCTAACTGTACCTGAGCTTCTTACCCCAGTGACAGCAGAATGCAGAAGAATTCTGAAGAAGCATGAGGAGAAAGAAGAGAAGGGAATGGCAGAAAGAAGAGGGAGGAGGAAGCTGAATCTCTGCCACATGGGCAGGACCTAGTACCTTCCAGCTACAGGCATACACAGGAGGCTCATGATCAAAGCCTTCTGAAAACCCATTAACATCTGCACTTTCCCTAGGTGTTAAATTCTGTACCAACCATGCATATAACTAACTTAGCTACTTGTGGAACAAAAGCAGGGAAGATATTTCATGCAACATGGAGGAAAGCACCATTCAAGGGAATGAAACAGAATCTTATCAAAGCAGGGTAATGATATGTTAGAACAAGGTGACTGAACCATTAATTTTGCACCAAGAATATTTCTTTTGATGGAAAACCCAAAGTGTTTGGAGCAAGCAGACTGCTCAGCCTAAAGAGCTGGAAAATATGTGCTCCTCAGTGGGGAGCTGTAATATATTTCCCCTTTTCTGTGCCAGATTCGGA